CCCAACACCTGACGTAGGATTTGACCTTGAATCTCGATCCGAAACTCGACTCTAATACCCGAATCAAAACACTACCCCGACGAGTAAACTGGGATCCCACTTCAACTCTCTACTCAGGACCCGACTTTCAAATCAAGATTTGATCCCGACTCTCAACCTGGGAACCGACTTCCAAATTGAGACCCGATTACGACGCTCAATTAAGGATATAAATTTTGAATCGGAGACTCTGGCATCCGACCCTGGTAAACTATTTGAGAACTGACTCTAACTTCTGAATCGGGACCCGACTCCAACACCCAACTTAGATCAGACCCCAACACCCGACTCTGATGACTAATTTAGGGCCCAACCTCTACTTCCTTTTAGGAATCCGACTTCTTAATCGAATCCCAACCCTGACACCCGATCCTGACCTAAATTCTAGACACAACCTTGACTATCGATAGTGATCCAACCCCGACACTCCATTTGAGACTTGACTTCTGACTTCCTAACCCAAGACTAGACACCTGAATCGAGACCCAACTTTTGAAACATGACATGATCCTGACATTTGATGTGGGACCTGATCTCGACACCCAACTCTAGACCCGATCTTTACTCTCGATTCAGGACCTAACACCCAAATTAAGATTCAACCCCAATTTGATTAGAGACTTGGGAGTTGGGTCTCGAATTGAGGTTGGGAGTCGGGTCTTGAATTGAGAATCATAAATTGAATTTTGAAGTAGTATCTGAAATCGATTTCTGAGACTTGAGTTATGGTGGAAATTTGAGGTATAAGGTTGAAAAAGAGTTTTGAAAAAATGTTTTCTTTATTTTTTTGAGGTAAGTTATTTTCCTTAAATTTGAGAAAAATAGATTGATTTGAAAAATATTTTTCAAAACATTTAAGTTAGGCAAACATAAATTGAAAAATATTTTTCAGAAAATATTTCCTTCCTACCAAACAAACTTTTAAGTTTTGCAGTAAGTATGTACAACACCTATATCTATAGGGTTATACAGAGAAACATCAAAGGGTATCCACTACCAAAAGAACACTATTTTGATTGAAATTTTCCATTGAGAAATGTTCCATGGTTATTTCCATAAGTTTTTCGTTGAATCAATAAGAAAAACAAAAATGTTTAGCGGCTACTTCAAGTATTTTAATGAGAATCTATTTTTCATCATGCATTTTTCCAGTGAGTTGATTCGGTGGGAATGGAAGGAAAGAATCATGTTTTATAACATAAATTTCTTATTAATTCGCAGTCGAAAAAAATCTTTATTTCTAGTAATGGTAGGGATGGCAATGAGGCGGGGCAGATGCGGAGTGGGCGGGTTGCGTGTCTATGCGGTTTTATACGGGTCCAAACTTAATTCTATTTGTTTACATATTATAAGAGTGGTAGAGCATTATTTATTAAGATAGCTCCTTTAAAGTTTCTAAAATATTCAAGATAGTAAATGAAAAATGGTTCAATCAAAAACTAATAAGGTTTCTTTCATGCTTCCTAATTGACCTCCAAAAAATAAAATGTTAAGTCATTATCTATTAAATTAATACAACTTTATGATAAAATGATTTATTTTTATGAATTTTATTTTTAGTATCAAACTTAATTAAAAAAAATATTAAAAAAATTATGAAGGTTGGGTTGAAAATGAAAAAAATGTTATGCAAAACGGCTTAAAATTTTGGGAATTTTACACAAATATCATAGTATTAAGAACTAATTACATCTTATCCCTACTCTTTTCCAAATTACAAAAATTCCTTAAATTTGGTGGAATTCGGATACATCCCAAAACGTTCTGATACATCACGTCTCAGTTTTGGATACATCACTCAACGTCCCGACATATCGCGTCTCATTTCAAATACATCACTCAACATCTCGATACAATGCATACGTTCTGATACATCACGTAAAATGATGTATCCGACCAATACATCACGTAAAATGATGTATTTGAGAATTGGAGAGAGTAGAGAATATTATATTTTTTTCAAATGATAGAGAATTTAGAAAAATATGATGAAATAAGTAGTATATTTAGATATTTATTCCTAAAAAATTTGCAGGTTAAGCTTAACTCACCCCGCATCCATCCCGATCCGCCCCACTGCCATCTCTAGGTAATGGATGGTCATAAATATTTACATTTACCATTGAAAATATAGGAAAGATTATGGGGGTGCGGAGATCGATGAGAAGATGGTGAATATATAAATATTACTATGCATAAAGATGAAGAATAATATTAGGAAAATTGTATTTGATGGATAATCACATAAATAATACATTTCAAATACTCTAATTTTGGGATAACTTTTTTTGGACTATATGGTGCCTTTTTTGTTCAGTGCCTTTTCGATTCTCTTAGTAGATATATGAACAGAATAAATGTTTGAATATATTTATTTTCATTTTAAAAAGTTGAGTCATACGCATGCCTACTAATGTTTATATTGAAAATTTCTCCAACTCTTACAATATAGTAGCTATTTTGACTAGTTGACAAGAATCGTGAGAGCCTTAACCCCCCTTCACATTACTACTACAAATTAAATTTCCTTGACGAGCGATGACCATCTCAAGGCACATCATTGTTTACTCAGAAAGAGTAACGTCTGATGTTGTCCTTGGAATAAATCATGTGTAACGGGTGATGCCATCCGTTGACCCTTTCGTCGAGTACTTGCATTTTTGTATGATTTCACTCCTTCAAGGTAAACTATACTTGTTTTTTTCAGTGTTGATCAATTGTTGCATGCATGTTTGACTTTTCATGTGTATTCAGCTAACTTGATCATGTGTCTTGTTTATTTTTGTCCTATACAGACATGACCTACAAGCAATATCAACGAGATCTAAAAAAGTAACCCAATTGAATGTTAGAGGATCGGTATAGTATTAATTACCTGCATTTTGAATACCTTAGAGGTATCATTCATAGATCCACATATATTCGAGGATTTTTTTTTACAAGAAATTTGTGATTTAAACCAGATTAACTTGTCAATTTCTCCTTGTAAATGAGACGAAACTTGTTTCTTTTTTCTCCTTTAGCTTTAGTTTGAGCTAAGTTGTTGATAGAGACCTAAAATTAACTACTTTATATTACACACCTTACATGGTTTTTGAGAGTTATTTGCATTTTCTACTCCTAACATATGTACATTTTAAAATTTTATATCCTACTCTATATTTTCTTAATAGAGATTTTCACTCAAATATCTATATTTTCTTACAAAATATTTGTTTCTTATCAATTTAAGTGTCTTAGTTTGATTGAACAGACAACATGTTTGGGAAATAAGTATGTTTATTTGAATATAGTTAGTTGGGTTATATTAGGGTGTTGGGTTGTACTTTTAAAAAAACAATTTGAGTAATTTCAATAGGTTTGGGGTTTTTATCCAAAGAGGGGTAATATAGTAACTTTAGAGATGTCGGAGCTATAAATGAAAGTTGAGAAGTATTTTTTACCCTTTTTTCCTTTTTGTGCATTCAAATCAAAACACAAAACAATTCCACGTGGAAAGAGGAATCGTCCCTTCATTGTTCTATATAAATAACAAGTTGTAGTGGGGTGGGTGGGAGGGGGTAGTGGTGGTGTGGGTGATTAAAGTAGTAAAAAATAAATTTAATTTCTTTTTAAAAAAAACAAATAAAAAAATAATAATTTCTTAGGCGTTGGGGAAAAAAATTTGAGGCATTGGAGTTGGGGGTGAGGGTGGGGTGGGCAGGTTAAATAAAATTTGAGGCATTGGGGGTGGGGGTGGGGGTGGGGGTGGGGGTGGGCAGGTTAAATTTAAAAAGTTCTAAGTATTTTTTTCGTTGGGGTGGGGTTGGGGTTGGGTGGGGTGGGGGGTAAGGGGTGAAGAGTAATTTTTGCTTTTGAAGCTTTTAACATGATCCCTATAATAATATGGGTAATTATGGATACTCATATTACCCATTGGGTAACTCGTTTTACCTAATAAAATATGAGTCGAATCGAGTATTTTACCCATTTTTATTTAACTCATTTTCGATCGACTCATATTCGACTCAACCCGCTCGTTTGTCACTCCTAATAACAACCTTCGATTTGTTTTGACACAAGAATTAACATTGAAATTTTAATCATTTTGCTTCCCCTAATTCATGTATAAAATTTCAAACTGCATGGGGCAAATACTTTATTTGGCAAAACTTTCAATTTTTGTTTATTTTAAAGTATCTTTTACAAATAGGAATGTTTTTCAAGAATATATAGCAATTTATGTTGGACTAATCAAATAAAAGAAAAACATCTTTATCAATATTAGAACAACAATAAGCGTATGGTCAAGATACCAAAAAATACTTGGGAAAAAATAACTTTTTCAACTTCTGAAAAAAAAAGTATATAATATAAATATCCCTCTAATATGTTACAGCTTGTATATCCTATTAAACTATTGATGATCAAAAGTATATATACACTATTGATGATCTATAGGATATAAAAGCCTCACATATGGGAGGGATAGAAGTCAGCATCTATATCCAATTACACTATTGATAATCTATAGGATATAATTCATCCGTAACTATCCCTATAGCTTATTCTATTATCTTTCCATAAAGTGTTGAGGGACTTAACACAGTCTATCGTAGTCCTATTACGCTAAACACTATGTATATATTGCAATGATCACTCTATTAATAGCATTATTCAATAATGTGTGTGTTGTTTTTAAGCCTATAATGAAGCGTATCTCTGATATTTGGCTTTTAAGTTTATACAAGCTTGTAAAATTTACCATTGTACATTTATATGTTATAAACTACTTTACAGGTATATTCTCCTATTTATATATACATTTATACTACTTAAAAACATGACCAAACCCTTCAATTCACTAAAACAAACTTTCAAATATTTTTCAAAAAGGCACTTTTAGCTATCGAGATGCTTGACCAAACAGTCTATAAATATGTTCTCCGAAAATAGAAGAGAGGAAAAAGACAATTTCGAGATCCCATGAATAAAGCGATAGAATCTCAAACTTTGGTGTTGAAACATCATACATGGACACACAATTGGAAATGACTTGAATGTCTATCACCTCTAACAATACACAACTTTTGTTTACATCAAAGGAAATGTCACTCTGAGTAAGTACCTTCTTTACAGTGCTTGTAAGTAACATGTTCACATCATCTGAAAATCAATTCTTTCAAATAAACATTGTGATCACTTCACAACAGTCTTGATTTGCACTGTTTATCTTAATGCCCTTCATCCATGGGATCACTTCTGTTACACGTTTGAGATCTTAAATCCTTCTCATCCTGCCTTGATTCATTGGATCCTGATGCCTTGGAAACAGAATCTTCTAGGGCCTCGAGAAAAGATGGAACCGTCAACTTATCTGCAGCAATGATGTATGAAAATTAACCAATTTTAAAACTTAAACAACACAGATAATTAAGTTGATGAAGCATATGATCTAGTGCATCAGAAATGAATGAGAAACAAAGTTCTGGTACCAAATCAGTAAGGGCCACAAACAGAGGTATAACCAGCTGAACTAGATAAACAGAGTTACACTTTCACATGAGCCGCAGCTCAAGCTGCCAAAAGGCAAAGGTTTCATACTTCACCCACTTATAATTTGTTGAAATTGTTGCACGGAGAAGAATCTTCCATTAAAGAAAAGGTCAATATTTTTTAATGAAAGCAATTCATGTATACATACAGGTCAGTGATTATAAGCATCATCTCACAAGCAAACTTGCCTAAGTTTTAAAAGAGATGAAAGAAAGTAGGCAAAATATCGAGCATATAAAATAATTAACCATTAGAAATTAGTGTGTTTCATTCCTTTCAGCTTGAGATGAATTATCAAACAATGCTTTGCTTACATTGACTTGGATCAATTCCAAACTGAGTCAGATCTATTTGTCCAGTTCGAAGAACCTGCAGTGAGAAGAGAGTCAAATTTACAGACATAACCTGCAAGCATACCTAAAAAGCTGAATGAAAAAATGAGATTTTGATGACTCACATAAGTAAATGAATCTAACTGCTGACGGAACGGAGGACTCTGTAGCAATTCCATTAATTCATATGGTGTCCAATGACCCTGCAAACATAAGAATTTTCAAGATAACATCAGCACTGTAATCCTTGTAGTTTGCGTACTAGGAGCCAATTTTTTACCTCTGGCAAGTGTGAAGCTAGTTGTTCTTCTAGTGGTATTTCCTCAATCAGTGGTAATATGAGCTCAGGCCTCAAAATATCTCCCAATCCCAATCCTGATACAGCAGCAAGATACGAAGTTAAAGTAAATGGTGTATATGCTATATTTTTTGTATTATTACATGAATGTCCAGATCTTGGTTTCATTCAAGTGAAAAAGAATATTGTTATACTCAAACCCTAGATGTTGTTCTCCAATTGCAAGGATAAAGAAAATGAAAAAGATGGAAAGGAGAACCTGTAGGGAAATAAAGCACTAACAAAGGTGCACGACAGTGTAATAGTGAAAGGATAACCAAGTCTAAACTTTCCCTTCTATTTGAATCAAGAGGAGACAAACAAATTCAAGCACAAACAACATTTTGGGCAGCAAGTATATCAGCAAACTGAATATGACAAGACAAAACTAAATCAAACCAAACGAGACACCTAGATTTTACATGGAAAACCTCTTCATAGTGGAAACCACAGGACCAAAGCTCCACTATAATCAACAAGAGTTGCAATATGTTCTCCAAAATGGCCACCAAAGAAAGTCAAACGATGAGTAACAATAACTAAAATATAGCACCAAAGAACTTGAGAAATAGAGTAAAAGCACCAAAACACATATATTGTGCACGAGCTGAAATCTGGTGCTATGGGACTCCAAATCCACCTCTGTCAGTTCCCAATCAAAGATTAAGATAAAATGAACAAGCTGCCCAAATATCAACTCAATCGGACAAGGAATGAAGCGGGAATCACAATTTGAAATTGGCTGCTAGGGCTGAAAGATTTTGGGCAAAAATCTACACTCACTTTTCTCTATATGGTTGCTAATCTCTATCTCTTGTATATGTGGAAATAAGACAATTAAAGAGGTCTTACATAAGCACTATATAGTGGGCTTATGGGCAAAAGTGGGCTGGTCCAAATTGGACTTTTATTTATCCACATAGCCGAAGACCCTGCTCTATACAATATTTTATCAAAAGGACCAATATATTCACCACCATTATTTGAGCGGATGCATTTCAGTTTCTTTCCCATCTGTCTCTCACGTCTGGAAATTCTTGAACACATCAAGTACTTGATCCTTGGACTTCAAAGAAAATACTCAAGAGTTTGCAAGAATGATCTCATCAATAAAAGTCACAAAGTAAAGTGCACCACCATGAGACCTTATCTTAAAAGGACCACACAAATCAGAATGCATCAACACCAACAAATCAAGCCTTCTTGAAGATGGTTATTATACTCAAAATGACCAGTATGATATTAATGCTCCAGTGCAAGATGATGTGGTTGGCCAACAACCAACTGTTATTGATGCTCCAGAGAGTTCTCTCAGAAGATCTACAAGAGAGAAAATACCTTCATCTTGTTATTCTGCAAATGAGTATGTACTCTTCACTAATGGGGGAGAACCTGAGAGTCTTAACGAGGCCATGGAAAGTGAAGAAAAAGAAATATGGTTTGATGCTATGGGAGATGAGATTAAATCTTTACATAATAATCATACACTACCTAAAGACAAAAAAGCTTAGAAAAATAGGTGGGTCTTCAGGGTGACACATGAAGATGGCCACCCAGTTCCACGATACAAGGCTAGATTAGTTGTGAAGGGATTTATCCAAAAAAAGGGAGTTGATTTTGATGAGATATTTCTCTCCAGTTGTGAAGATATCATCTATTTGTATGGTTCTAGGCTTAGCTGCAAATCTGGATTTAGAGGTTGAGCAAATGAATGTTAAAACTACTTTACTCCATGGTGACTTAGATGAAGAAATTATATGGAGCATCTATAAGGCTTTGAAGTTGAGGGAAAAGGGAATTATGTTTGCAAATTGAACAAGAGCTTGTATGGTCTAAAACAAACTCTCAAGCAGTGGGTACACGAAGTTTGGTTCTTTTATGAGTCAACAGGGCTTCAAGAAGACTCTTTCAGATAATTGTGTTTTTGTGCAAAAATTCTCTGATAGTGACTTTATCATTGTTTTGTTATATGTTGATGACATGTTTGTTGGTGATCATAATGCTTGTAGGATCAAAAAGTTGAAGCAAGAGTTGAATAAGCCTTTTGCTATGAAAGGCTTGGGACCAACAAGACAGATTCTTGGCATGCAGATTGTCCGTGACAGAAGCCAAGAAATTGTGGCTATCACAAGAGAAATACGTTCAGAAAGAACTTTGTGGGCTCAACATGGAAAAAGCTAAGGTTGTCATTACACCTCTAGCTATGCACTTCAAATTGAGCACGAAGCAGTATCCTTACAATGAATGGTGAGAAGGAAGATATGAAGAAAGCTCTTTATGCTTCAGTCGTTGATAGTTTGATGTATGCAATGGTGTAAAAGACCAGATATTTCTCATGTTGTTGGTATTGTTAGTCGTTTCCTCTCTAATCTAGGATGAGAGCATTGGAATGTTGTGAAGTGGATTATGAGATATTTTTTTTAAGATTAGTACTGTTGTATTCTTCAGCATTGGGAATGTTGGCCACCATCAAAACATGCTACAAAGCAAGTAGACTCTAGCTTTACCAAGCTCCTAGAAATTCTTCTAACTCCTCTATTTTTTTATGACACTTCTAACTCCTCTATTTCCTCTATATAGTTTTGTTTACACCAAAAAAGTAAAATCATCAGACAATTCCATTTCACATCATGGACTGATTTGATCTTGTCGAATTATGAAATATTTTTATGGCAATTCTAGTCTGAGTTTGTGTTATGGGACAAGAAAGCCTATTCTTTGTGATTACACTGATGCAGATATTGCCGATGATGTTGATACTCGCAAGTCTACTTTAGGCTACTTGATTACTTTTGTAGTAAAAGTTGTGTCTTGGAATTCTAGGTTGCAAAAAATGTGTTGCTCTATCTACTACAGAAGTTTAACTTTTTTTTTTTTTTTGATAAAGCAACAACAACAACATACCCAGTGAAATCCCACTAGGTGGGGTCTGGGGAGGGTAGAGTGTACGCAGACCTTGCCACTACCTCGTGGAGGTAGAGAGGTTGTTTCCGAAAGACCCTCAGCTCAAGATATGCAGAATAAGAGCAATGATCAATAAAATCAAAGTGAAGCAACATCAAATAACAAACTTCACTAATATTTGGCTGGAACTAGGATACATCTTCAACAATGTTGAGATTACAGTCAAGCCACTGAAAATGGCTTGACCGTAATGTTATATTCATCAGCATTAAGAATATGCTGGAGACCTCCAAAAATTGGTTTCCAACAAGAGAAAAAACAAAACAGGCTAATAGATTACAAAGTGCCTATAAAATCCAAAATTTGTGCAGTTTCTTCTATCCCTTCCTCTTTACACCAAAAATAAAAAGTAGTCAAGCAGTTCCATTTGACTTTCTCTATTGAATTAGCTTTGTTATCATAGCATCTGCTATTTCTTTCTTTCCAAATACACCACCAAATGCATGATGGTATTATACTCCACCACTTTTTCTTAGATTTTCTCCCCCCTCTGCTGATCCAGCAACTAAGTAGATCTGCTGTATGCCCAGGCATAATCCATTTTGTATGTGTTAGTCCCAAACAAAGGTTCCACAATTGTGTTGTCACTTTGCAATGGAGGAACAAATGGTTGTTGGTTTCCTCGGTCTCATTACAAAGAGAGCACCAAGAAGCAATATAGAAACCCCTCCTTTTCAATTTCTCATGAGTGGAGCATGCTCTTCTGGCAACCAACCAGGAGAAACACTTTACCTTGGTTGGCACCTTGTTCCTCCACATCTACTTCCAAGGGCCAAGTTTACCACCTGGATACTCATTCACCTCCTTAATATATAGCTTGTTAACAGAAAGGCTTCCATCTCTAGAGTGTTTCCATATGATAGAATCTTTTTCTGCTGATAACCCATTAAAACCATTGAGAACATGTAATAGCTCAGCCACTCTCCCAATCTCCCAGTCATTGAAGTGCCTTCTAAACACAATATTCCATCCATGAATAGACCATACCTCAGCCACTGTTTCTTCCGGATTGGTACACAAGGAAAATAGGTCAGGAAATAAGCCCATCAGTGCCTCATTTCCATTCCAATTCTCTTTCCAGAATTGGATTTTCGTCCCATTTCCCACCTTGTAGGCTATGTTTCTACTTAGATCAAGCCACAAATTTCTTATTGTTCTCCAAGCTGACACCCCGTAAGTGCTATTCACAGAGTTGGAGACCCAATTCCCATTCAACCCGTACTTGTTGACTATCACCTCCCTCCACAGTGCTTCTTCCTCAGTGTTGAACCTCCATAGCCATTTTGACAAGAGACATCTATTCTGCAACCCCAAGTTTTTGATTCCAAGTCCACCAGATTGTTTATGTAACTGTGCAGTCTGCCATTTGACTAAATGCAAACCCTTCCCTTCTTTATTCCCTTTCCACAAGAAATCTCTTCTCAGTTTGTCAAGTCTTTCTTCCACTTTGGTAGGCATAGGAAATAAAGACATAACATAAGTTGGAAGAGAGTTCAACACAGAGTTTATTAAAGTGACTCTCCCTCCCAAAGAGATATACTGAGCTTTCCAATTGGCCAATTTCTTCTCTGTCTTTTCAATTATGCCGTCCCAAATTTCTAGCTCTTTATGATTGTGTCCCAATGGCATGCCCAAGTAAGTAGTGGGAAGATGTCCTACTTTACACCCCAATATCCTTGTTAGGCTTTGAAGTTGAGGGACTTCTTTAATTGGAAAGATGCTGCTTTTCCTCCAATTTACTGATAAACCCAAGACTGCTTCAAAAACCACCAAAGTCATTCTTATAAAGGCAACCTATTCTGCCTTAGCTTCACAAAAAATAATGGTATGCAGATGACAAATCTGCATTTCCCTTCCTGAAGAGTTGCGGACCTTGAAGCCTTTTAACCAATTGTTTTGGATAGCTACTCTCATCATATTATTATAGCCCTCCATGGCTAGGATGAAAAGGAAAGGAGAGAGTTTAACTTAAGAGTTGCTCGGGATGAAGAGATTCTTAGGGGAACTTGGTTGTGCCCAGGAGAAGTATGTGCTTTATTGCTTTATTGAAATAGTCAAAGTGTTATTCACCTTGGAAAGAATTTTACATTTCATGGTCGATCTAAACACATTGATGTGAGATACTATTGGATTCAAGATGTGTTAGATTCTAAGTTGCTTGAACTTGAGAAAACTCATACGGATGGTAATGGTTCCGACATGATGACTAAAGATTTGCCAAGAGGGAAGTTAGAAGAATGTTGCACGATCATCGGGATGGCGGTCTTCTCCACATAGTCGGGAGGGGGAGATGTGTCAGATTTTGGGTCTTTTTTCCTTCCTATGTGGATAAATAAAAGCCCAATTTGGATCAACCCAATTTTGCCCGTAAGCCCAATATTATGGTGCATATGTAAGACTTCATTTAAGGTCTTATTTCCAGATATACAAGAGATGGAGATTATCAAACATATAGAGAAATAAGTGAGTAGATTTTCGCCCAAAGACTTTCAGCTCTAGCAGCCAATTTGCCAATTTCAAATTCCAATTCTTGCTTCGTTCCTAGTCCAATTGAGCTGATATTTGAAAAGCTTGTTCATTTCATCTTAATCTTTAATTGAGAACTGTCAGAGGTGGATTCAGAGTCATGTAGCTCCATTTTTCAATTCGTGAACAGTAGCTGCATTTTGGTGATTATATTATTTTACTTCTCTAGTTCTTTGGTGCTATCTTGTAGTAGTTATTGTTGCTCGTTGTTTGGTACTTCTTTGGTGGTCATTTTGGAAAACATATTGTAACTTTTGTTGATTATAGTGGAGCTTTGGTCCCGTGGTTTCTACTGTTCACTCCAAAGAGGTTTTCCACGTAAATCTTTGTATCTTGTATGGTTGATTTAGTTTTGTCATTTATTTTGTTGATATACTTGCTGCCCAAAACGTTGTTTGTGCTTGAATTTGTTTGTCTTCTTTTGATTCAAATAGAAGGGAAAGTTTAGACTTGAGTATCCTTCCCCTATTACTCTATCGTGCACCTTTGTTAGTGTTCGTCTTTCCCAACAATACCCTCAGAAAAAAATTAGAAGGCAGTAAAGGAAGCATATTAGACATCAAGCTTTTAGTCCTGTATACCTGTTGTGGATGTGGGTTGCTCAATTAATTAAGTATTTAATTAGATTTTTAACTAAATTTATATTATTTATATATTAAGTAGCTTTATTTATTATTCTAGAATAGGATTTATGTTTCATAGCTTCATAAGAATTAGGTTAAGCTATAGTTATTAGTTTGGAATAGGATTTAGGTTTCCTACTTTCATAAGGATTAGACTTCCTATTGTTGTAATAAGACTCTTATTTAAAAGGGTTTCTGATGAATAAATCAGTAAGACAGATATCAACAAAAAAACAAGAGATTAGCATTCTCTCTCCCATTGAACTCTAAGGTTTTAGTCTCCCCTTAAAGACCTGAAGAGATCAAAATTCTCCCCTTCCATTGAACTCAAAAGTTTCAACCTCCCTTTAATGAGTTGAAGTTATATATCGCTCGGTGAGTCAATCCTTTCCTAAAGATTCATAACATTTGATATCAGAGCCTAACACAATGGGCGATAGAGATCAGTTCCAAATTTGAGAAGAGCGTGTCATTAAAGAAACCCTAATGGACTCTAAAATTGCAGCAATGGAACCACACCTTGACAAAAGAATTATCCAAGTCATTCAAGAAGAATTGTCTAGATTGGGAGATGGCCCTACAAAACTAGCAGCCTATAGACCTGAATCAAAGCGCCCAGACGATGAGCATATCAACAATTCCTACTACTAATTGCAATACACCACCTATTCAACTGCTGATAAAAACCATCCAACAAGTGGTAATTCACATCTGATAGTGCCAAGTTATACAAAGATGAATTTTCCTACTTTAATAGCATCAACAATCCATTAATTTGGGCACATCGTTGTGAACAATTTTTAGAGCAATTTGGACCTCGTGAAAAAAAGCAATCTTATGTGAGAAATAGTCATACTTCAACAATCTGATAGAGTTGAAATTTTTCATGTCAACTTCAAGATAAATTGGCTAGGGATGGAATTGGATAATTAAGTTGATATTATTCCAAATTTTTTGGATGATTTCCCTAAAATTTGAGCTTGAGGACAAGCACTTTCAACGTGAGGGGAGTAATGTCATGGATGCGGGGACTCATTTAATTAAGTATTTAATTATATTTTTAAGTAGATTTATTTATTATTTATTTATATTTTAAGTAGCTTTATTTATTATTCTAGAATAGAATTTATGTCTCATAGCTTCATAAGGATTAGGTCAAGCTATAGTTATGAGTTTGGAATAGGATTCAGGTTTTCCTACTGTTATAAGGATTAGACTTCCTATCTGTAATAAAACTCTTATTTAACAAAGTTACCAAGTTCAAAAAATAAGACTCTTATTTAAAGGGGTTTCTCATGAATAAATTGTTAAGTCATATTTCAGCAAAAAGCAAGAGATCAGAGTTCTCTCTCCCATTGAACTCTAAGGTTTTAGTCTCCCCTTAAAGAGCTTAAGAGATCGAAGTTCTCTCTTCCATTGAACTCTAAGGTTTCAGACTCTAATGAGCTGAATTAATATATCGCCCTGTGAATCGATCCTTGCCTAAGGATTCATAACAATACCATAAAAATTGTTTAAATATTCTTTACTCTAATTTTAATCAACATCTCACCAACGGTTTAACTACCTCAAAATCCTTTCAACTACAAAATAGTGAACTATGGCATGCTGGCCAAGCATTAAAAAAACAACCAACAAAAAGTATGAGTTGATCAAATGCCTACCTGCATCAGGATCTACAGCTTCATCTGTACCAACCATAAGAAATAGCATTATGTCCACATGAAGATTAAATGAAAGAGATTGTTAAACAGTTAAACTTCAGAAAAGTTGAAGGGAAGTAAGTCAACACTGAACCTGTGGACCCTATGTTACTCAATATTCTTTGAAGATCAGACATCTTTACTGGGCCTGAAGATGTCACATCGCTACTAGCTTCAGTATTCATGCTTGCACTAACCAAATTTCCCGCCCTGAAAGAGGTCATCAGACATTTTAAATGATTACTTCCAGCCTCTAGCAACTTCATAGAAATGAAGATGGTTGTGTACTACTACTTAAAAGGAATGCAAGAAGGAAAAGAAACTATTCAACTATGTCTCAGGACCTAAGTTGCTCGGACTCTCCAAAAATGTTGTTGCACCCATGTCGGATCCTCCAAAAATGCACTACTTTTGAAGGATCCGACACGCACCCGATGACATTTTTGAAGAGTCCGAGCAACATCGCTCAGGACTAAAAGGGTGTTTGGATTGGCTTAAAAGTTGGTCCAACCTACTTTTAAGTGGAAGTGTTTGGCAAATATAAAAATAACTTAAAATAAGTCAAAAATGACTTCATAAGTTAGAGAGTGTTTGGCAAAGTTGAAAATAACTCAAAATAAGTTTAAAATGACTTTAAAAAGTTAAAAACCATTTTAAGCCAATCCAAACGGGCTCTAAGTTTATAATTGTAGCAGCATGGTTAGTGAGGAATTATATATCCGATCTGACTTAATTCTGATTGAGGTTTAGTAGTAGTTTTTGTAATCAACTATGACTCAATGTCGAACTAAGTTGCTTGTGTTCTTCAGTAAAAGTGAAGTGAGGCAAACCAATTTGCATCAGTTCTTAAAAATCTTTGTTAGCATGTGAATCTCCCCCATTTTTGTGACAAGATGCAACATCAAAAACAGATCTTATACTTCTCAATGATATTAGTATTACCTCAATGAAATATCTTCTTCTACCATATCTTCAGAATTTGGTAAAGGAGCTGAAGCTTCAGGCTCATCTTCACCAGGAAACTCTGTTCAAACAAGTTAAATTTTACCTTAGTTAAAACAGGTACGTTAAATAAACTTCCACTCTGCGAATTAATAGAAGTCATATAGATGAAACGCCCATTAACAACATCCAAATGTAGTTACTAGAACAACATATTAGAGTGCATTCCCCAAATTAAAATTCCATTTTCAGCTCCTTTATGTTGTTACAACCAGTCAACTACTACCAAACTTGAAGTTCGTAAAGGTAAAACATTCATGCTCGACACAGAACAGCAAATAATCAATAAATCAAAAATGTCAAGAACAAAACATGACACTTGACTTGATGAATAATTTTATGAATTGAAATCAATCTAACAATTAAAACAGCAACATGAAACACGTAAACAAGGGTGAAGAAGAGCTAGTCACATTGCAAGTCCATGATGCAGAAGCCTTACAAACTATATCAGAAGGAAAAGAGACAAGGGATGGCTAGTCGACAGCTAATACATTTAGGTCTGCAGGATGGACAATAGGCCGGAGGAAAGAAAAGAATTTAAGGCAGAGACTAAAAGAATATATTGGCCTTGACAACTTGAAAAATCTTAATATTTGTTGAGTTCATGTAATCCTAAACTAGGTTGGTAGGAGAAGGTAGGAGAAGTTATCATTCTTTTAATAAACCAACTTTCAAGTTACTAAATTTCAGAAAGGACATAAAGCAAATTAAAGGTGAAGACAAAGGAAAACAAAATAGCAAGAATTAAAACCCACAAAGACGGGCACTGAATAAATCTTGATTACCTAGTGGTTGATTCAAGTAGAAGTTGACTGAGCTACATAACTGTGCATCATTGTCAGCTGCTGGCTCCTGGCAAGAAATGAAGGAAAATTTTATCACAAACTCAAAGCATGATCACAAAATTCAAAAACATAAAGTAATATCTATGGCAACAGATATGACCTGCATCCAAAAAAAAAGCCTTCTATCGTCGGTACAGAACTTCAAAATGTAAACCCTTCCAGATGATTGATTGACCTGAAGAGCATCGAAAAACAATGAATTAGCATCAGATATTAATTGAAGTGAGAACCTCTAAACGACAATTTTAAGGATTTTTTTTTTCAAATGGGAGGAAGTTTGAACCTCTTGTAACTTAGTAAGTGAAAAGTGAATATTTAGATTGGCAATAAAGTTTAAAGTCAGTCATTGGTCACTAGACACTATTGATTCTGTATGTTGTGAACTTCATCTTAATAATCACAGAATTTATTTTGATGAAATTGAACAGTTTTTCAGCAATCTAAGTAACAAGCAACAGGGAATAGAAATACCTTCTCAAAGACTGCCTCCTCTGGGAAAACAATCTGATCCTATGATCAACTTTTGTCAAGAAACAACTTTCAGATTTACAGTTTAATCACTATGGATGGTACCATATGCAGAATAAGAGCAACAACAACAACATACCCAGTGAAATCCCACTAGGTGGGGTCTGGGGAGGGTAGAGTGTACGCAGACCTTGCCACTACCTCGTGGAGGTAGAGAGGTTGTTTCCGAAAGACCCTCAGCTCAAGATATGCAGAATAAGAGCAATGATCAATAAAATCAAAGTGAAGCAACATCAAATAACAAACTTCACTAATATTTGGCTGGAACTAGGATACATCTTCAACAATGTTGAGATTACGGTCAAGCCACTGAAAATGGAGTAGTCCCTCTTCACCCTAAAATATCAAAATGACATCTTATCACAATAGGTATTTGGACAATTGTCAAGCAACATTTTGTAAGATCACCACCATGTAAACTAAACGAGGTCTCAAACTTGGGTGAGCAAGAAAAATGATAAACCAAATCAAATATGATTTCTTTTCCCATACCCTGCCTATACGAACAAGTCCTTTCCGTGAATCAGGGATAACCTTTTTGCCCTCCATGAGCATTTTACCAGCACGAAATTCCATCAAAGTTTCCTGAACAAAAGAATACCAATGTCTTTTATACCACACCATTAAGACAATCAAATGTCACATGAACAGAAAAATATTTATCATGACATGAGATAGGATACATATATACTGTTTGTTTTTCTAATTTTGATTTCTTTATAAAGGGGGAAAACAATTGAATAATGATACAAACAGCAAAACAATACACACTTATCTTTGACAACTAACAATTTTCTTACGGAGAAAAGCAGAAAGTGCATATATAAGAGAGTTATGCTACAAAGGAAAGAAGAATAAAAGTGAAGCTCCCTGCGACTGTCATCAAATTTGTGCATACAAATTGGATGCCTATGTACTCCAAGATGAACAAAAGGTACTTGCATATTTTCCATCAGATTAGTGACATCCTTGACTTCTTTGAATACCTTCCATCCATATCCTTCCACGTGTGAGATGGACCATCTGATGCTTTGTACATCTCCTCATTCCACTACTCCAACTTGTTGTAAGATCCTTAGCGCATCCAGGAATCACCAACCTAACTTATTCTACAATACTGATGCCATATTGTGATGTACCAGAAGGATCCAGTATTCAGCATAAAAGCACCACTTTATGAAGGATCTTCCTCTTTCTTACATTTTCTACTGTTTAAGTTGGGGATCCAAGAAACAATCTATACGAAAAAATGCGAAGTTAAGAATGCAAAGTAGCCAGACAGACTCTATGACGTCCTTCCTCTTCAAAGGCAGATTAAACAAGGATTTTACTAACAACCTGTCCCATGCACACCAGGACCCCTCCAGTTTTCCAGATGTCCCCTCAGACACCATAATGGTGTACAATTCTTACAACCATCATTGTTTTTTCAGTATTCTTATGACAACCAATGATGGAGTTAATGTGCTTCTCAACAACTTAACATCCTCTGGACCAAACATTGCCCATATACTTTGTAAAATGTCATTGCCCATATATTTTCCTTTCTATTTCTTGTACTTAAGTAAAGGAGGGAAAATGTCTGCTGCTGTCGCCGCCACCACAATTTAAAGAGTTTGCAGAATAGGTAGACACACAAAATGCCAAATGCAAAATCTCTCTCAAATTATGATGTGTGCTACTAACAATAAGCTGTCACCCACACAAAAGTGTGTTTGTTTTTCAATAAGCAGAATTTTAAGAGAGGGTCTTTCTTTAGAAATACATAATGCTTGCATCCAAACCTTATTCTAATATCTCTCCAAATAATAAGCCCTAAAAACCTGATAAAGAAGCTTGCCACTTCAGATCTATAGGTTTTATTTTACATCTTCAGATTTCTAGCTCAGTTCTTTCTACTATAACTTTTGAGTAAACTGTAAAGAACAGGAAAAGCGCAACACTGATACAGGTGGCACTTTAGACTTGTTCAAACTGCTTAGTGTTTTAGCTTCATGTAGTTATGTTTTGAAGCTAAACAGTTCTGTCACTTTGTAATGATGCATCTTCTTGATGCCTTTCCAATACAATTTAATTACTTAACCAAAAAAGTGTTGCATCAAGTATTTGTCTACCTCCAACATGATAACATCTACGCAGTAAATAGTGACTCATCCAAAACCTATTTTACTCAATAGAAAGAACCTTAAATATAACCTTATAGATATTTCCACTAAACTAATAGGTATGTAATCCTCCCTTTTTGGAATGATGGCAATGGAAGAAGCATTAAGACTTATTTTGAATACTTCCGTCTCTTGAAAAGCTTCAATGGTCTCCATCTTTGGAAACTGCAAAAGTAAAACCAACTTTGTCCCCTGCAAAGACTCCACTGCCTTTTGAATCTCCTCTTTCTCAATGCCCCTCTCCAACCACACACTCTTTTCTTCCCCTATTTGGGGTCAAACGCTGGACCCCTATGGTAGGCCTCCAACCTGCCTCCTCGGCTCCTTCCTAAATAGCTGCACATAGACTCCTATGATAGCCCCCTTCTACCTCCTCCTCCCCTTCATGCACTGCACCTTTACATCGATTAAATGAAGTTTCTCCTCCTATTTGTTATGCCTACCTTGTAAAAAAAAGATTTTATGTTTGAGTCCCCCTCTTCCAACCATAACGCCCTCAAATTGTCTCTAACTACTATCTTGAGTTATTCCTAGTTAGTGTCTTTTAGTACTTCCTATAAGCAAACTAATTCGGCACTCACATACCTTCCTGGTTTGTTTCTTCAAAAATTTCCTAGAAACACACTAAATCAGCACTCTCTTACCTTCCCTGTTATATCATGAAGTTAACCCAAAAGAGATGATTAATAAGGGCCTGTTTGGGCATAATAGAATTGCTTTTTTCCAAGTTTCATTTTCAAAACCCTGTTTGATTATACATTTTGTCAATTTTTCACCCAAGCTTGAAAAAACAATCCCTCACAAAACTTCCAACATTTTTTCAAGTGTAATACATGTACAAACACAACTTCAACTTTCAAGTACTTTTTGAATTTAATACTTTTTTCAAATATTACTGAATCCATGTCCAAACTCCAAACGCCTACTAATTATATTGTGCAAATTCACCACTTCTACTTTTTTGAGAAAGAAAAGAATATATTCATAAATATTGGAGAAAATTCCTGTATACAAGACGAATACACATATAGAAAACCTACAAAATAAATGGTTCTCTACAATAGACATCCATCCTTCAATAGAAAAGGAACTTCATAGGTGCACCAAAAAGAACCCCTATCTTCCTTTCTTTCTTTTTTCATGACCGTGATGTTCGGGCCAGCTTTTGTGCACCTCGACTAATTCCATGTCCTCCAAGGCTAGGACAGAAGGGAAGAATCACCTAGTGTTTTTGTCTCCGCTGAGTTTTGATCCAGAGACCTCAGGGTTCTCAACCCTCTCTCCCTTTCTTTTCATCCTTGCTATGGAAGGTCTTAGCAAGATGCTCCAAAAAGCATGTCGACTACAATGGATTGAAGATTTCAAAGTAGGCAGTCCCTCCGGAAACAATGTCACAGTTATATGTCTATTTTATGCAGATGATACTTTGCTATTTTGTGGGGCAGATAGATCACAAGTGATTAAGCTTCACTTGATTCTGCACATTTCTGAAGCTGTCTCTAGACTTCATACAAATATGTCAAAAAGCACTATCTATCCCGTAAAATTCAGTGCACAATCTGGCAGAGCTTGCAGGAATCATGTGTTGCAACGTAGGCTCCTTTCCAAAAACTGATCTTGGGCTGCCTTTAGGTGCAAAATTAAAGGCTAACGAGATCTGATGGGGAATAAATGAGAAGTTTGAAAAAAGACTAGCAACATGGAAAATGCAGTATCTTTCTTTCGGCTTTCGGAGGTAGAGTAACATTGATTAACACTGTAATGGACAGCATCCCTACTTATCATATGTCCCTTTTCCCTATTTCAGAAAACATTCTCATAAAGCTTGACAGAATTAGAAGGAATTTTCTATGGGAAGGCAACAACGAGGATCCTAAGTTCCATTTGCTTAAATGGGCAAAAGTGATGACCTAAATCCCAAAGGGGTCTGGGTATCAAAGATCTCGCAGCTCACAATAAAAGCATGACGATGAAATGGTTAGGGAGGTGTGGAACTGAATACATTGGACTGTGCTAAATATGGTGAGCTTACTCACTCGTGCACATTTTACATAATAAGACATCACTGAGAACCGTCGTCATTCTCTAACTCCCAAATTGTGTTGATCCTACCATTAGTATGAATTGCAGACCAATAACTTTTCTAGTAATACTTCATCAGTGGTTGTGAAAAAAAAAATCAATATTTTCGACCTTGGCCATATGGCAAAATGTTTACCAATCATATCCTTGGGTTCACTATTGAAGTTCTTTGTTTGCAAATCTACTTAAGGTCTTGTAATAATATAATAATATGTATCATGGTCATAAGATGATTGTACTAGATCTAGCAGACCAAACTATTTTTGCTTCTACTTTACTAACAAACTTGCATCTTCTTCATGCCTTTAATGAAACATTTACTTCAAAAAAAAAGATAAAATTTCATTATCAATCAATTAACTAACCGTCAATACTAAAAACTAATATGGATCTGCTATATGTTCTACTTTGAGTCCATATCCTATCCCTATGTTTAATTTACGTGTTTTACTTTTCTTTTCAATTTGTTTCAAAAAGAATGACTCTTTCTATATTTGGTAACTCTCTAATTCCAATAGTTTACATGGCTTGTTTAAGATTATAAGATTCAAAGAGCATTTTGTTAGATTACACGACTGCAAGATTAAAAAATCTCCTTTATTTTCAATTTCAAGTGAGCAGATACACGAGCCTCCTCAAATAAAGACACTCCTACATGAAAAAAAGTCTATAATTTGAGACCTTGATGGTATTACAGTACTCCGGGAAAGACAATAGATACAAATTTAGTGGGTACCTGAATTTGGGGTAAAGCGTCCGTTGACGAAGAACCCATTGATTCTCCAATTTATAAACAAAGAACTGAAAACAAAACTGGCAATTTAAGGAAAAACTAAAACAAGTTACGAAGCCGTAATACCCAATTTGTAGGTTTGAAATTGAATACTGAATAATTAGCGAAACAAAAAAAAAAAAGTGTGAAACAAAGCAACAGTTTACCACTCTATCACTGTGCTCAGATGAGAAAGAAGATTCGTACAGTTTTGCACACCCAACAACTTGTCCCGTCGCCGTCACCGAGTTGGGCTGCGCAATTTATACTGAACTTTTCCGGATTCAGGACTACTTAGGGATTGTTTGTTTGATGGGACACAAACCAATATTCGGAGAATTTACACCGGGTAGCCACTTTTGTAGGGTGTATTTAACATTTAATCACAAATGTTGTAAGCTTAGCCAAAAGAAAGCATCTCTATTTTTTAATATTTTTGCTTCTCATTTGTGTAGGATCCATATGAGAGTTTATTAATTTGAATTCACATTCCGTAAGGTCTATTTAGGAAAAACGCTTTTTATTAGGAATTTTTTTCATATTTAGGATTAGAATTTGAGACATTTGATTAAGGGACGATAGAAATTTATCATCGTGAGTGAGGCACAACAAACAAAAGGTGTGTGAGATTCATCCGTGTTTGACAAGTGACGTTGTGGTCCCACAAATAATTTTATTTTTCAAACTTTTCTTCTCTTTCATCATTTTTAATTTATTACTAGTACTACTCTTATTCTTTTTCATATTTCTATCTTTCATATTTATTTTTATAAGAAAAAACGTTATACTCCTCTCATAATCAACATGTCAATAAGATAATTTTAAAATCATAAAAAATTGAACTGGCCTTTATTTTTTGTGATAATTTAAATATCACAAAAAATAATATTTTATAAAAATAGAGCAAAAATTATGAAATTAGTTAACAAGTTAAATATGTTGTTTTAAAAAATTGTATACGGAGAAATATCAAAATAAGGAAGAAATATATTTCCTTGGAACTATGTCTTTAATCTCTTTGTAATAGTTCTCATTATAAATTACTTCTTCATAACTACTTAATGCTGAATGATAGGGCTGTTGATGTGGCATGCTTCTAAAATCAAGATTTATATTTATCTAATTTTTTTTAATTTCTTTTTATTTATCAATTATTTTGTAACTAAATAAAAAATAATATTATACATTAAATATTTTACAATAAATATTACTGAAAATTAGTGTTATTCATATCTTTTAAAACATTTCTCAATTCCTTCATTTTTTTCTCCCCTTAATCTCACAATTAATGTCATTCATATCTTTTCCTTAAATTGCTTCATTTCTTTTCTGTTTTACTTATTTAATCCCAAGTAAGTTAAAAATCTTACTACATTTCTCAATAGCTGTATTTTTTAAACACATTTTAAAAAAAAAAAAAAAAAACCGTCCTCATATCTTCTATTCTTCTTTATGTTTTAGCCTTAAATTTTGAATAACCTAATAATTAACCTTGAAGTTTGATTAACCTAATAATTAAGATTTTATCTTTATATTTTTTTTATCTATATTAAGTGATTTATTAGATATAAGAAATTATTTTAAAGATAAAATTAAAGATTATCATTCACTATTATACTTTTGATTATTTCTAAACTATTCTTTTAGAAAATGTAAAATAATTAAGAATCTTATTAAAAGAAAAGGTAAATATGGAGAAAAAAAAAATCAATAATTATCTTAAACTTTGAAACATTCAGTTATTTTGAATCATTAAAAAAGTCTCAACAATTCACTTAACATGAACTAGAGGAAGTATATTCAACTAGTAGCTAATATTATTTTTGTTGATTTTCCTCCATTAGTTTTGATTTATATGATTGATAGTTTTATAATTTTAAGTTTCCGTATGATTTAGTTATTAAGTGATATGTAATTTAATTCTTAGATTTTTTTAACTCACTCCTCTAAAAAAAAAATTCGACTGTTTTAAAGTTTGAACACCCTTGACGAAATTTTTGGCTCTGTCACTGGGCTATTTTTGTTTCGGTATACAAAGTAGGCATGGGTCCCATATTTAATAGCAAAATATATTAAATTGTAGTCACACACAATAATTAAATGAAACTATACCATCGTTGAATAATAAACTAGTAATGTTTGCCAACTCGTGTAATTTTCCCAAAAATAAATGGAGAGCATGTATTAAGAAATAAGTCATTCTCATCTAGATACAATTTGTGCTTTAGAAAATATTGGATATCAATTTACTATTTAGTAGTGTTTGTCACCTTGTGTAATTTTCCCAAAAATAAAATCTGATTTTTTAATTAATGTTATTGTAAGTATATAAATTGTTACAACCTGAAAAATTTAAATGTTATAACTTGAAAGTTTTATTCTACTGCTATAACTTGAAAATATTAGTCTAATAATTGTCATTTATAAAATTTTCACTAAAATAAATGGAGAGCGTGTATTAAGAAATAAGTCATTCTCATTAGATACTAATTTGGGCTTTAGAAAATATTGGATATCAATTTACTACTTATATGAGGATTTTTCAAAATGCTATACTATCTCTATAAAACCCATCTCTATTATAAAAAAGTTTACATTATATGATATAACTTTTTTAAAAAGTAATCTCTTAACTATAACTAACGAAATCCAAATGATAACTCTCTTGTTATTTCATGAGACACTAATACTGAAATTGTTGTCACAGTGAGCAAAGATATTAAACACGAATAACACTTTTCAATATGGAGAAGGCAAAAATAAGAATTGAAAGATTCAGACAAAAATATTATATTGGTTCAATACTTGTATACATAAATGCCTAATATTAATTTTTGTGCTATTTGTAGAATTATGTAATAATCTTTGCATGATTCTAATTATCAATTAACGTGTCTATTAATCCTCCATAATAGGACAATTCCAACTCACCCCAAGGGTGTGTTTGGTATGAAGGAAAACATTTTCCGGAAAGGGTGTGTTTGGTATGAAGGAAAACATTTTCCGGAAAATGTTTTCCAATTTTCTCATGTTTGGTTGGGCTAAATGTTTTGGAAAATGTTTTCCAAATCAACTCATTTTCCTCAAATTTAAGGAAAATGACTTCCCTTCTAAACTTAAGGAAAACATTTTCCAAAACTCTCTTCCAACTTCAAATTACAATTATTTTTTATTGAAAAATCAATTTATTCCTCAAACCACCCCCCAACCAACCCCTTCCCAAAAAAATAAAAAAATTTAAAGTTTGTTTTTAAATTCAATTTTTTTACCCCGACCTCATCCCTACCCCCACCCCCTCCCAAAAAAATATTAAAAATTATTTTAAAAAAATATTTTCAATTTCAAAATTTCATTTTTCCACCCCACCCCCAAAAAAAATAAAAAATTTCAAGTTTGTTTTTAAAAAATATTTTCAATTTCAAAATTTCATTTTTTCACCCCTACCCTCGATCCCCACCCACCCACCCCCTACCAGCCCCCCCCCCCCACCCCCAAAAAAAATAAAAAATTTCAAGTTTATTTTTAAAAAATATTTTCAATTTCAAAATTTCATTTTTTTCACCCCTACCCTCGATCCCCACCCACCCACCCCCTACCAGCCCCCCACTCCCACCCCCAAAACAAAATAAAAAATTTCAAGTTTGTTTTTAAAAAATATTTTCAATTTTTCAAAATTTCATTTTTTCACTCCTACCCTCGACCCCCACCCACCCACCCCCTACCAGCCCCCCCCCCCCACCCCCACCCCCAAAAAAAATTTAAAATTTCAAGTTTGTTTTTAAAAAATATTTTCAATTTCAAAATTTCATTTTTTCACCCCTACACTCGACCCCCCCCCCCTTCACCCACCCCTTACCACCCCCCCACCCCCCAAAAAAAAAATTAAGTTTGTTTTTAAAAACTATTTTCAGTTTCAAAAATTATTTTCTACTCTAATAAAAATAAAAGATATTTCTCAAAAATATTTTTCATTCATAAATCAAAGACTAAATATCTTTTTCGGAAAATATTTTCTACTCACCAACCAAACATGAGAAAATAAGTCAAAAATCAACTTGTTTTCCTGGAAAACATTTTCTAGGAAAACATTTTCCTTCATACCAAACACACCCAAAATGTTTTCCAATTTTCTCATGTTTGGTTTTGAAAAATGTTTTCCAAATCAACTCATTTTCCTCAAATTTAAGGAAAATGACTTCCTTCTAAACTTAAGGAAAACATTTTCCAAAACTCTCTTCCAACTTCAAATTACAATTATTTTTTATTGAAAAATCAATTTATTCCTCAAACCACCCCCCAACCAACCCCTCCCCAAAAAAATAAAAAATTTAAAGCTTGTTTTTAAATTCAATTTTTTTACCCCGACCTCATCCCTACCCCCACCCCCTCCCAAAAAAATATTAAAAATTATTTTAAAAAAATATTTTCAATTTCAAAATTTCATTTTTCCACCCCTACCCTCGACCCCACCCACCCATCCCCTACCAGCCCCCCCCCCACCCCCAAAAAAAATAAAAAATTTCAAGTTTGTTTTTAAAAAATATTTTCAATTTCAAAATTTCATTTTTTCACCCCTACCATCGACCCCCACCCCAAAAAAAATAAAAAATTTCAAGTTTGTTTTTAAAAAATATTTTCAATTTCAAAATTTCATTTTTTCACCCCTACCCTCGACCCCCACCCACCCCCCCCCCACCCCCAAAAAAAAATTTAAATTTCATTTTTTCACCCCTACCCTCGACCCCCCCCCCTTCACCCACCCCCTACCATCCCCACCCCCAAAAAAAATTTAAGTTTGTTTTTAAAAACTATTTTCAATTTCAAAAATTAATTTTCTACTCTAGTAAAAATAAAAGATATTTCTCAAAAATATTTTTCATTCATAAATCAAACACTAAATATCTTTTCCGGAAAATATTTTCTACTCACCAACCAAACATGAGAAAATAAGTCAAAAATCAACTTGTTTTCCTGGAAAACATTTTCCATGGAAAACATTTTCCTTCATACCAAACACACCCCAACTCTACGTTGCAAAGTAATAAAATTAATAGGGATGAGAAAAAAAAAATTAATAAGGATGAGAATATATATATCTTAATATTGCATGTATGAAGATTATTACAAACCTTTAACAAAGCAACACCATATGAAACAAATTAATCTAAAAAAAATAGAGAGAAAAAGGGAAGCACAAAACTTATCGTAAATTACAAATAGCAAAAAAATTGTTGTGCGCTCAAACAATATAGGTAGCCGTTGGGTTCAATAAATGAGGGTTTTACGAATTTGTTTACTACATCGACCTAATTTTCTTTGATAATGA